AATGTTTCGTTCTGCTGTGCATGGGGTCGCTATGAGTCGGTTCCGACTTGATGGCACCTGACAACAACAACAACATAGCGAGGCTATGTACAACAAAACAAAAGCTGCCTGGTCCTGGCCAACCTCACAATTGTTGCCACAGTTGAGCACTTTGATGCTGCCACTTTGCTAATCCTTCTTGCTGGGGTCTACCTCTTTTTCTCTGCCTTACCAAACATGATATCCTTCTACAGTGACTAGTCCCTCCTGATAATATGTCCAAAGTATGAGAGACGATGTTTGGCCATCTTGGTCTCGAAGGAGCACTCTGGATGCACTTCTTCCAACACAGACCTGTTGGTTCTTTTGTTAGCCAATAGCACTTTCAATACTCTCTTTCAACATCATAACTCAAAAGCATCAATTCCTTTATGGTCTTCCGTATTCACTGTCCTGCTTTTGCATCCATATGAGGTTATTGGAAATAACATGGCTTGGGTCAGACTCACCTTAGTCCTCAAGCTGAAATCAACACTTTAAAACAGTCTTGTGCAACAGATTTGCCTAATGCAATAAGTCGTTTGATTTCTTGACTGCTGGTTCCATGAGGGTTGATAGTTGATCCAAGAGGAATGAAACCATTGACAACTTCAATCTTTTCTCCCTTGATAAGAATGTTGTTTATTGTTCTAGTGGTGAGAATTTTTGTTTTCTTTATATTGAGGTGCAATGTATACTGAAGACTATGTTCTTTGATCTTCTTCAGTAAATATATATCCTCTATTGTTGTTGTTAGGTGCCATCGAATCAGTAATGACTCATAGCAACCCTATGTACAGCAGAATGAAACACTGCCCATTCCTGGGCCAACTTCACAATTGTTGACAAATGTAAGGCCATTGATGTTACCACTTTGCCAATAGATCTCTCTGAGGGTCTTCCTCTTTTTCTCGGATCCTCCACCTTATAAACAAAACAAAACAAAAAAACCCATTATATCCTCCTCCAGTGACTGTTCCCTCCTTACAATATGTCTGAATAATGAGAGACAAAGTTTGGCCATCTTTTTCTCCAAGAAGCACTCTGGCTACACTTCTTCCAACCATAACTCAAAAGTATCAATTCTACTATGGTCTCCCTTATTCACTGACCAGATTTCACAAGCATATGAGGTTATTGACAATACCATCACTTGGGTCAAGCACGACTTAGTCCTCAAGCTGATATGTTTGCTCTTCAACTCTTCAAAAAGGTCTTGTGCAGCAGATTTGCTTAATGTAATACATTGTTTGATTTCTTGACTGCTTCTTCTATGGGTATTTTATTGTTGATCTAAGAAGAATTAATTCCTTGACAACTTCAATCTTTTTCCATTGATAAGAATGTGGTATATTGGTGCAGTGGTGAAAATTTTTTTTGTTTTCTTTACATTGAGATGTAATCCATACCAAAGGCTGTGCTCTTTGATCTTCATCAGTAAATATTTTAAGATTTCTTCACTTTCAGCAAGCAAGGTTGTATCATCTTCACATCCCAGGTTGTTAATGAATCATTCTCCAATCTTAGTGACACATTTTTCTTCATATAACCCAGCTTCTTGGATTATATGCTCAGCATACACATTGAATAAGTATGGTGAAAGAGTACAACCCTGTCACACACCTTTCTTAATTTTAATCCATTCAGTGTCCCCATGTTCTGTTCGAACAACTGCCTCCTGGGAAATGTACAGATTCCTCATGAGCACAATTAACTGTTCCAGAATACTCATACTTCACAATGTTGTCCATAGCTTGTCATGATCTACACAATCAAAATCCTTAGCATAGTCTATAAAGCACAGGCAAACAACTTTCTGATATTCTCTTCTTGTAGCCAATATCCATCAAACATCAGCAATGATATCCACTCTGGATAGTAGATATTAAGTAAGATACAGGATGAAGAATCTAAATTCAGATAAATTGAGTTGTACATTTTACCTATAAACCTGGGTTATAGGTGAGAAACTACAGAAAATGACATAGCTATAATACAATTTGATCCTGCAAATTGACATATCCCAGAATATTTCCCGTATCATATTAAATATGTGACAAAGGAAACATTGTTCAGGTATGGAAACTGAACATTGAAACTCTGAGACCTATAAAAATTATGAAACCAAACAGGCAAGATTTCTGATTGCAGATGTTAGGTCTTTCCATCTTTTTCAACTCATATACCAGTGAATATGGAACAAGTGTTGAAATTAATTTGTTCTGCTGAGGAGTCTCCATAGAGCTCTTTTTATGTCCCTGTTCCTCAGGCTGTAGATGAAGGGGTTCAGCATGGGGGTGACAATGGTGTACATTACCGAGGCCACTGCACCCTTCCTGGCAGAAGATTTGACAGCTGAACTGAAATATGACCCAAGTGCTGTTCCATAAAAAAAGCAAACAACTGATAGGTGAGAGCCACAGGTGGAAAAGGCTTTATATCTTCCATCTGAAGATGAGACTCTCAGAATGGAGGAAATAATTCGAATGTAAGAGAAAAGAATCCCAGAGACTGGAATGCCACCCAAAATAGCACCAATAAAATACACTAGTATGGCATAGGTGGAAGTGTCAGAACAGGCAAGGTTGAGGAGTTGTGGAGGGTCACAGAAGAAACTAGGGACTTTCACATCTGAGCAGAAGGTAAGTTGTGACACCATTGAAATATGCAGCTGGGAGTCCAGAATGCTGATAAGAAAAGATACCAAAACTAGCAAGCCACAGAGCCGGGGGTTCATGATCATTGTGTAGTGAAGGGGATGACAAATGGCCACAAGCCGGTCATAAGCCATCACAGTAAGGAACAGATTGTCTAAACATCCAAAGAGATAAAAAAAGGACACTTGTGTTAGGCATCCCAAATAAGTGATGGATTGGCTCTGTGTTTGGATGTTCATCAGCATCTTTGGAACTGTAGTGGAGACAAAGCCAATGTCAGCCAAGGACAGGTTGCAGAGGAAGAAGTACATGGGGTTGTGGAGGTGGGGATCAGAGCTGACTGCTAGGATGATGAGCAGGTTTCCACACATTGTGATCAGGTATATGGAGAGGAACAGCTCAAAGAGTTGGTGTTGCATCTCTGGATCCTCAGAAAGGCCCAGAAGGAGGAATTCTGCGATGCCTGTTACATTCCGTGATTCCATTGCCTGAAAGAGTTTTTAGAAAAATAAATCATTATTCAGAGGAAACAAGGGGACAGATACCCAACACTATGTATTTAAATTAAAGAAATTCATAGGTACCACATGCAAATTGAAAGTGTTCACACTTGAGTATCTAATACCAAAGTAATTTCAACATGGTTTTTGGCTTTAGCAAACCCAACAGCTTTAGTACTCAGAACTCCTTTTCCGTGCTAATTTTCCTTTCCTGTTTTCGTACATACCTACTTTAGTGATACTGGGTTAAACAATATTAGGATGGCATGGACATTTTATGATGAAAAATTTATACAAGAGATGTATTGAAGTTTTGTTGCTACTCACATGTCTATGCAAAAAATTTTGGAATCCAGCTACCTAGACAACTGTTTGGAAGACATCCATTTTCGTGTGCATTTCAAGAAAATGCATCCTATTCACCCCATGAACACAAGAATCACTGAACAATATCAATAATAGCACATGAAAGTAAAAGTTTGCAGCAGTTATTTAAAAAATGGTTGCATCAGTACATCAACAGTGAACTGCCATAAAATAAAGGCATTTTCAGAACAGAACATGGAACTTGACATATCATTCCTAACCTTAGATTGATTATGGATGAAAGCAGAAAATACCAAAAAGATGTTTACTTGTGGTTTATTGTTATAAGCAAAGACTTTTGACTATGTGGACCATAACAAACTAGCGATAGCATTATGAAGAATGGATATCCCAGAACACTTACTTGTTTTAACTGCTGAATCTTGTTCTGTGTATACCTGAGCTGCCTGTACATAGAACAAGATGCAGCTGTTAGAACAGAATAAGTGGATAGTAAATGATCTTAAACCAGGAAGGTGAGCACCAGGTTGTATCCTTTCACCATACTTACACAATCTGTATGCTGAAGAAATAATTCGAGAAACTGAATTATCTGAAGAAGAATGTCACACCATGACTGGACGAAGACTCATTAACAACCTGTGATATGCAGGTGATACCACCTTACCTGGTGAAAGTAAAGAGGACTTAAAATACTAATGAAGATCGAAGACTATAGCCTTCAGTATGTAATGCAACTCAATGTAAAGAAAACAACCATCCTCACCTCTGGACCAATAAATAACATCATGGTAAATGGGGAAAAGATTGATGTTTTCAAATAATTCATTTTGTTTGGATACACAATCAACTCTCATGAAAGCAGTAGTCAAGAAATCAAATGACATGCTGCATTAGACAAATCTGCTGCTAAAGACCTCTTTTAAAGTTTTAAAGACCAAACATATCAGTTTGAAGACTAAGGTGTGCCTAACCTAAGTCATGGTATTTCAGTCACCTCATATGCATGTGAAAGTTGGAAAATTAATAAGGAAGAGGGTAGAAGAAATAATTCAGTTTAATTATGGTGTTGAAAAAAGTATTAGAATATCATGGACTGTCAGAAGAACAATCTATCTTGGAATAAATGTATCCAGAATGCTCCTTTGAAGTGAGGACCTCATGATTTCATCTCTCATACTTCAGGCATGTATCAGAGGAATGAGTTCCAGAAGGACACTGTTGTTGTGTCATTGTTAAGTGCTGTCAAGTCAGTGTCTACTCATAGTGATCCTGTATAGGGTTTCCAAGCAGCAGCTGGTGTGTTTGAACTGCTGACCTCGTGGTTAGAAGTCCAGTGCTTATCCTACAGCATGACTCCTGGAGAAGGACATTATGCTTGATACCGTGGAGGGTCACTGAAAAAGAGGCAGACCCCAATGAGATTGATTGACATAGTGGCAGCAACAAGGGGCTCAAATGTAATTACAGTTGTGAGTGTGGCACAGGATGGGTCAGTGTTTGTTATGGTGACATCAGAGCATCCAAGAACAACATGAGAAGGAACTGACTCCATGGCAGATGTGGGACTACGAGGCAAACATAAAATAAGAAGGCTCATTCTTTTCAGAAAAAAAAAAATTCAGTAATTGAGGATATTCAGAAGCATTTGCATTCCCAGGGTGGGCAAATGATTAATGCACTTGACTGCTATTCAAAAGGTTGTCAGACACTTAGAGGTACCTTGAAAGAAAGACTTGGTGATATTCTGAAAAGCCAGTCATTGACAAAATCATGGAACACAGTTCTATTTGACACACATGGTATTACTATGAGTCATAATCAAGGGCAACTGGGTATTCTTTTTAAGAAGCAGTAACATGTATGTTGTTTTACCCAAGTGTTGTTATTAAATGCCTTCATGTCATTTCCTACTAATCATAACCCTGTACATAATTTCAAGCAGAGTCTGGTAGGTTTGAACTGCCCACCCTTTTGTTAGTAATCCAATGCTTATCCAACAGTGCCATTCCAGGACTCCAAGAACTATGCAGTACATTCTTTTGTTATGGACTACATATCATAAAAAACACTAACCAATTGTGGTGGTGGCACTTGTGTGCCACTGAGTCAGTTTAGACTCATAGCGACCTTGTATAGGGATTCTGTAAATCTTTATGGGAACAGAGAGTCTCCATTTTCTCTCATGGATCGACTGGTAGATTCAAATGGCTGATCTTGTGATTAGCAGTTCATCTCATAATCTATTATGCTAACAGTGTTCCTTACAATAAAGAACATAATCACATTTTAAAAAAGGGGGCGGAGAACCAAACACACCACCATTGTCATTGGGAATCCTGGTATGGAGCTGTAGGCTAATGTGTCAAATTGCAAAGTCATTTGAACTACAAGGTTCATGGTTCAAGTTCACCAGCTGCTCATTGGAAACCCTATACAGAGTTGCTATGGGTTGGAATCAACTCTACGGCATTTAACAACAACAACATTGTCATAGAATTGATTCCAATTCATGGCAACCCCATGTGCTACAGAATAGAATTACTGCATAGTGTTTACTTGGCCTTCATCTTTACTGGAGCAAATCACCTGGGCTTTATTTAATGACTCTGAATGGTGAGTTGAATTACTAACCTTGAAGTTACTAATTGAGTTCATACCATGTGCTTCATCCAGGGACCTCATCTGTCAGATTCTAAATTAAAATAAAATGTTCATTATTAGAGACCATATTTCTATGTCAGTTACTTTCAGTTTTTCATCTTTCTTTGGTTTACTGACATCTATTTTATATGGGGAGTTCTGGTGTGGCACTATGGGCTAATGTGCTGAACTCCAAAGTTGGTTTGAAAAGCAAG